AGAAAGCCCCAAATTAAGCAGAAATTCATTCTGATATGTGTGCAAACTTCATCTCTTCTTGATTTGACAGAAGACTTCTCAAATCATGTCTATAAATTATGCAGTTTTGCAAACATATTGCCAAACTTTTGCTTTCCAGCTAGAGTTCAAATCTTCTTTCTCATAAACCCTCGTGTCTTTTACTTCCATCCTTATTATTGCTTCTTGTGTAGCAGAGTGATGAAGCTGCTTCTAAATCCTAATGATTATGGCTCAGACAGCACTCGTTAGGCAGATGCAAACCTTCAAATTGAAGCTATTTGTCTTGTAGAAGTGATTAGCGGCTGAGTAATTCACCTCTTGTTCATCACGGGGGACAAATTAAAATTATTGATCCTATATACTCCAGTTTCCAGATATCAATGATCTAATATTTTCATTTGCGGCCTTTTCAGGGAAGGCAACACTAACTGCTAAAGCCTGTATAATAATATTAAGTTTTAAAATACAAACGTAGTTTCAGTTTTTAATGTCTCCTATTATTAGAATCACATCAAATTAAATATAACAGCTACTACTGAATATTGCTCTGTTACAGGTTGTAAAAATGGTTAGCTTGCTTCTACGCTCGGTTGAATGTGTTCCAATTTCTGCCTCTTATGAGGTATTTCAAATGTCTCCAGGGAGAAGATGTAAAATTGTTGCCACCTCATGCATTGTGGTGGGACTATAAAGGAATATAGTCCCACCACTCTCTGTCTCTGTATTGCAAATACAAACCTGTGAGAATCGGTGTTGCTTTTGAGAAAGCTGGCCCAGGTTCAGACAGAGGACAGACATACTGCTTCAGCAGCTGCAGCTTCTTCCATGGAGCGTGTTTTAGCGCTTTGATGAACACCAGACGTCCCTCTGGCTGACTTCCAGGCCCACTCTGCCCCCTCTGTAGAACAACCTCAATGGAGAACAGAGGGGAGTACTACAAAGTGAGATTAATGGGTTAGAGAAATTCCCTAAACCTTAACCAAAACATTTTAACGTTACAAGGCAATGTCACTGGATGAAGTAACAGAGGGGAGAAATTTGAGTCTGTTTTTCAGTTTTTATTTTGATGATGTCACATTTGATATTGAATAAAATGCTACCATTAAACGTATTGGTTTTGTTTCTTTTCTGTCTCACGCTTCTACCCATACAGGCATAGAAAAAGATCGGACCCACCAACTCGCCGGCCCCCGGCCCGCCCCAGCAACATCCACTGCATGCTGCATTCGTCCCAGCAGGGCCACGGAGGGGCCCCGGAGATGGGCTCTCCAGTTCTGGGCCACTTCAGCCCACGGGACATGCTGAGAAGCCACAACCACATGCCGATGGACAGCCCGGAGCGACGGCGGCGCACCGGCCACGGCAGCCTGACCAACATCAGCCGTCACGAATCCCTGAAGAAGATGGAGAGCCCGCCAATCCGTCGTTCCACCTCTTCAGGCCAGTACACGGGCTTTACCGACAGCCATCACCACCACAGCGGCAAGCCCCTGGACCCGGAGACCATCGCACAGGTCAGCGCGGGACGAGCGGCGACCAGACCGCAGCTCCCTCCAACGTCAAAGCCCTGCCCCGCCCTGTAAAAACATAGTCAGTCCCTGTCTTCTGCTTCCTCTGCCTGCTTCTGTGTCTGTGTGCTACGAACACGCAAACTATTAGCTTCACAGGCAGACAGCAGGGGGCACAGCTTGGCGTTGGGACTCCTTCAGTAGAATTTCTGTAGTTTGTGTCATAATCGTAAAAATCATCGCAATCTCTTAAAATATCAATTTCAACACAGTAGTTGAGTTTCTCGGTTTGTGTATTTGACTATATTCATAAATATGAATGGTGCATTGATAAATGGCAGTTATATTAAAATTCAGAGGCCATCCCTGAGGTCACAAAGAGCTCTTGTGATTGTGCCAGGCTGTCTGCCTGCCTACTATGAAAATGCTCAGATGATCATTTTTGTCATCATCTCTGCATCTCCTGTTGTAAAAAGTCAGCATGCATGATATTTCCTCTAGCTCTATGCATGCAGAGTAGAAAGCATTCATGGTTTTCTCCTTATTTATTTAGAGAGTCTTCCTATTCAGCTGTTAACACTTACGGCTTACAATAGTTAAATCCGTTCCCAGATACAATATTGAAAACATATGATGAACAGCAAAAAGAAAATACAAAAAGCGCATAAAGTAGGAGAAAGTCAGAAGAATTAGTAGCAGCAGGGTGAAGGTCTAATATACTAGCTCCTTCCCCATAGATTTCACTAAGTTATTATGACTTCTAGTGGAAAGTCATAATCTAATTTACCATATCTTCAAGATGTTTAGGTTTCTTGCTCTAAAATTTGTTAAGATTCAGCCTTCAAAATATGTTTTTGTTCATAAGCCAGCGGTTTTTGTTTCATATTTTGTCTATGAACACTTTAACACTTTCTCCTTTGTCAGTTAGAATTATCCGACAGGTAGCTTTTAGGTTTTGATGTATAGATTCTGTTTCTTTTCTGGTTCCTCACCTCCCTTCCACTCTTTGTGTGTTGCAGGACATAGAGGAAACAATGAACACTGCCCTCAATGAGCTGCGCGAGCTGGAGCGGCAGAGCTCGGCTAAGCACGCCCCTGACGTTGTGCTGGACACCCTGGAGCAGCGGCAGACCGCCGGCGGTGGCAGCGGCGGAGGCGGTCCCACTATGGCAAGTTCAAACGAGTCCCTGAGCCCGATCCACGGCGTCATGCTGAGGACGACGGCCAACACCGAGCCGCCGATCCGCCGCAGCACCAGCTCCTCCAGCGAGGCCATGAGCACCTTCAAGCCCATGGTGGCGCCACGCATGGGGGTGCAGCTGAAACCTCCTGCTTTGAGGCCCAAACCAATGGTCATGCCTAAGTCAAATCAGGCCCCGCAGCCTCCTGCTGGGTCGGCTCAGGACCCTCTAGATAAATCCTGTACCATGTAAGCTCTGGGGGGAGGAAATAAATAAATAAAACAGAGATGGAAAGCAAAACGCTCACCCCCATTCCTGGGAGTCTCTGAACTTCCACCTGTCGTCAATACACAGAAAAGAAGAGGACAAGGTCCAAGAGATCTTTGCAACCTTTCCAAATATAAGTTGTAGTTGCAATGTAGATTTGTTATCCAAGCAAATGGTTTGCATCAGTAACATGCAGTTTTATTTTAATATGCTTAGGTTACCATCTACCTTACGGTATAAGGTTTTTTAAAAATGATTCTGAACAACAATTTCTTGGGAATTTAGATTTAGTTTGGTTTACAAGAAATAAAGAACGAAAGCAAGCTACTTGTAGGGAAGCCGGAAGAGAGAACTGCAGAGACCACGGCGGCTAAAACGAGGATTATTTCTGTCCGTACCTGGGAGTGCCCTTGTAGACGTGAATCCCACCAACGGTTTTACAGGCTTAACTGGAAATGTAACTGATTTTAACTTTCTGATGTTAAAACGGTGCTGGACAATGAACTGCTTAAAAGGTTGCCAATCATGTGGCTCCGCAACTTATTTATTAACGGTACTCTGTTAATAAATGAAAAGTACTGAAACTTGTACCCTTCCTTTCGGTAGCATGTAAACCGCAGCTCAGTTCATTTTATTTTCTGCAAGGCGTATGATACGCAGATTACTGTGCTCACTCAAATTGATGGAACTTCATTGTATCAAACAAGAAAGAAAGACGGAAGAACTGGATAAAACCACTACTTTGTTGTGAACCTGTACGCTTCCAATTTCTGCATCTATACCTAAAACTGTAAGTATGCCTTTGTATATGTGTCAAACATGAGTGTGAACGATGACGTCAAACATTTCATCACACAGTGCGGACCACATGTCGTAGCCTTCTGTATGCCTTGGCTTTATCTACCCAAAGACTTGTTGTGTATAGGTGAAAGCATGGATGTTGAAGCTCCACATTCACTGATGCGTTTAGACTTAAGGCAGCATCTTTGCCCGAGTTTCTGCCGGTAGCCATGGACCTTATGACTGTTAGTGTGAAAGCCTCGTCATGCACCCACCCTCCTCATCCTGCCTGTGAGGGAGGCCAACAGTTTGAGCCTTACAGTCTGTTCTGTTCAGGTGAAAATGTTACCTGTTGTTTATTTTTCGCTGCTTTTGTTGTTGCTACTTCCCTTGGACTGGTATCATTACTTCTGTGCGGATTTATGAGTTCCACTAAATGACGTGGAACAAGAAAAAAAAATAAAAGACTGCACATTGCTCTGCTCCTGAACAATAATTTCAAGATGAAATAGCCTCAGAAATTTGTTTGTGCCAGACTCTAGAAGTTCTTTATGTTCCAGCCCCTGTAGTGTAGAAACAATCGCTGTCATTTGTATATTACTATACACGGTTCAAAGCTGGTTTGCAAGAATAGGAAATGCTCTCTAATTGCAAGTTCACACCAACTTTGACTTGACTAAAAAAGCGTGTGTGAATGGATCAAAAGTTAATTTCTCAAGTAGTAATTTCATTATTTTTACAATCGTTTTGTTTGATTTTGGAGGGTTAAAATCACTCTGCGCCTATGTTGTAGAAGACGTAGGCATCAGTATGAAGCCAGTTGTCGGTGTGTGTGTGAGTGTGTGTTTTTTCGTTTTTTTCTGGTCACAATGAAACTTGATCAGCAACAGGACTCTGTTAAGCTGTCTGCAAACTTCAAACTAGTCTGTTCTGTACATCAGCAGTATGTACTTGTGAAAAGTGCCTTTGAAAATGTTTAAATGGAACTTCAGACATTCTGTCCTGTTGCGTTTTCGACTTAGATGCTGCAGTTTTCAATAAAATGCAGTGTAGCAAGTAGAAACGGATTAAGACTTGGTTTCCCAAACGGCTCTATGGCAGATATATTAACCGGCTTACACATTGTGACGTTGCACTTTTATGTATATACCTGTAAATATGGCATGTAACATCACAACATCTAAAGTTCTTTCAATGGAGGATTTTTTTTTTAATAAAGGAAAATAGTTTGTCGAATCTGAGGTGGATTTTTATTTATTTACTTTTATTTGAAATACTTTCAGTGGATTTACAGGACATCACTCACAGAGCATTTTCACAGGTGAGACACAAACGTCGAGGCATGCTAAAATAAAAGGTGTTTGCCGCATATTTTTAATTCCATTAAAATATCTGCAACGATTTAACAAAACTCTGTCTTCAGTGAAATTGGTGGGACAACCACATGAGATAAACATTTGGCTTCCAATTGACAATCTCAAGAATTTGAACAAGATTCTAAATATAAATTCTACAACTATATCTTTCATGATTGTTTCTTCATGGAAGACTAGATTTAAATTGAAAAGAAAAGACACAAAAAGTCACATCTTCAAACTCTGACACTTTTTAAGCTACTTATCCTGGCTGGTAAGATTAGCTTTGAAAAAGTATCGCATTTATATGATTTCTAATGATATACGTTTACGTCATAGCTAGAGAATCATTTATCTGAAGTACTGTCTTCTGCTATATATGGGAGTTTTACTGAGATCTGAGGATTGCCATACCGATTTCCAGCCTCAGCGCTGTTTGAAGGAGTCAGAGTGCTTCTCTGTCTTCTCCGTTCTCTACTGTGAGACTTCAAGGCCATCTAGTAAAAACAGAGACTGTGTTGTTTTGGGGATAATAACACAGCAGTTCCCTCCCCTAACTCCCTTTCCTCCACCCGACCAGTCAACATGTTTTTTGTACTGAAAATAACATTTTGATTATATTAATTACACGTGGGACAGATCCAACAGATCGTCGCTGGGAGTCATAATAAAGCCGAGTGGGGCTAAAATACACGTTTACCTCAGCAATTCCAACTTTTCTCTCCCAACGGTGAATGCTTTGTTGCAGCTTCTTGTGTTTTTCCTTGGCGAAAAGGTACTCTGTGATATCAGGAACGTGATGATCTGTTAGCTCTTTGCACAGGAATTGGTTGAGCCCCTCTGCTTTTAAACTCTCCTAAAGGAAGGAAAGAAGTCAAAAAGGATATATTTCTATACTAGTTAACAAAAGAATGGATTTTGTTTGACTTCAAAAGAATCTAAAATGTATCAAAAGTATTTCTTTTTCAACTTCAACTGCTACAAAAGTACTTCACTTCATAGTTGCATGGTTTTACAGTCATATTCTTTAAATTAGAATATTATTGAAAAGTTCAAATATTTCAGTAACTCCATTTACTTACTTAATTATGTTATATAGACTAGTTAAAATGAAATTTTGGGCTTAATGAAAAGCATGTCTAAATACCTATTCAAGGACTGTTTTTTTTTCTTTCTTTCAAAAGGTACCTTTAGTTAAACAAATCTTATCTGAATACATATGCCAATTTATGGAATATGGCTTCAAGATTTAAGTTCGTCAAGTGTGATTATTTTTAACAACCTTCTTTGCACGTTTTATCTCATCCTGAAGTTTTGCAAGCAGTTCCTTTCTTCTAGTGATTTCATTGCTCAGGTCTGTGGACTCCAGCGTTAAACTCTGCAGCTTCTCCTGTTCCCAAATACACAAGCAGATGCAGATTTGACAATAAAGGCAAACTTTACCATTAAAACGTTCTATTTTACGCATAAAGCAGATGGCACCTTTTCACATGAAGTTACCTTGTGTGAACTAAGGAGGCGCTGAACTTTAGAGCTTTTGTGTTTAAGTTCATTTAGGCCTTTGTCCAGTCGGGGTTCATCGTACTCCTGGAAAAATATCTATTGGACAGAAACACTCAAATGATTTTCCAACAAGCCAAAGTTATGCAATGATTTAATAAACCGCTTCTTAAATCTTTTGATACATGACATGTTCAGAGTTTCCTAGGGGGACAAAACCAAGGAAGGATAGAAAGTCTGATGTGCAGAAGGAAGATCCCCAGCCAGCACACCTAGGTGGGCCCCATATGGGATATAAGTGGGCAGGCAATATGGGTCCCAAAAGGGTTTGTCCACGGTTTCCATGGTGGCCCCACATGGGTTTGCCCAAGTAGATTTTAATGGGTGCTAACTGGGTTTTCAGTGGGGCCCATGTGGTTAACTCACATGAGGCCCATCTGTGGCCCACTAGGGTGCTGTCAAGAATATTTACGTGGGTCCCAATTGGGTCTGAACTGGGCTAGAATATGGGTACCAAGTGGGTTTGTCCACGGTTTCCATGGTGGCCCCACATGGGTTTGCCCAGGTAGATTTTAATGGGTGCTAACTGGGTTTTCAGTGGGTCCCACATGGTTAACTCACATGAGGCCCATCTGTGGCCCACTAGGGTGCTGTCAAGAATATTTACGTGGGTCCCAATTGGGTCTGAACTGGGCTAGAATATGGGTACCAAGTGGGTTTGTCCACGGTTTCCATGGTGGCCCCACATGGGTTTGCCCAAGTAAATTTTTATGGGTGCTGACTGGGTTTTCAGTGGGTCCCACATGGTTAACTCACATGAGGCCCATCTGTGGCCCACTAGGGTGCTGTCAAGAATATTTACGTGGGTCCCAATTGGGTCTGAACTGGGCTAGAATATGGGTACCAAGTGGGTTTGTCCACGGTTTCCATGGTGGCCCCACATGGGTTTGCCCAGGTTGATTTCAATGGGTGCTGACTGGGTTTTCAGTGGGACCCACATGGTTAACTCACATGAGGCCCATCTGTGGCCCACTAGGGTGCTGTCAGGAATATTTACCTGGGTCCCAATTGGGTCTGAACTGGGCTAGAATATGGGTACCAAGTGGGTTTGTCCACGGTTTCCATGGTGGCCCCACATGGGTTTGCCCAAGTAGATTTTAATGGGTGCTGACTGGGCTTTCAGTGGGGCCCATGTGGTTAACTCACATGAGGCCCATCTGTGGCCCACTAGGGTGCTGTCAGGAATATTTACCTGGGTCCCAATTGGGTCTGAACTGGGCTAGAATATGGGTACCAAGTGGGTTTGTCCACGGTTTCCATGGTGGCCCCACATGGGTTTGCCCAGGTTGATTTCAATGGGTGCTAACTGGGTTTTCAGCGGGACCCAGATGCCTTAATCCTGTAGGAACAATTCCATCTAACCTGGATGTGAATTACATTCATAGATATGCAATCTTGATCAACAATCCAAAGTCTAGCTTAAAACGTGTTCAAATAAAAAATGAAAAAAGAGATGAAAAATTTATTTTGCTCAAGGCTTTTATTTAGTAATTTAAAATATTGTCAGGAGTTATTTTTACCTCACTACAGCAATTATTAGAACTTCATTAATACTCAGGGAATGGTGCCACAAAAAGAAATCTGCAATTATTCACGACATCTTTGAAAATAACAGAAGCTAGTTTACTATAACAAACTTATGAACAGATCTATAAATATATATCTATAGATGCACACAAATAAAGACACCTACATATTTTCCTACAGGTCTATAAATGTATACATCTAAATACTATCTATATAACTTTATACACGTATATTCACATTGACACACACAATGTGAATATACACACCTATATAGATCTTTCACAATACATTTTTGTTAAACATTTTTAAAAATAACCTACATGCCATATGCATGCTTAAATTTGAAATCTCTCATACTTTACTGAAACTGTCCATCTTGAAAGACCTCCCCAACCTGAGTTTGAACTGGCAGTCTCTCTAGTCTATTTCCACTTCCACTCGGGCTCCAGTAAACCACTTCGAGAGTCTTTGCTGTATGCTTGTGTGATTCTGTAGATGGATAATTTCTTTTAAGTCCCCTGAAATAACAAGCAAAGGTAGAAATTGTATTAGTGTTTCATTTTAGCACAATGTAACATTCATGAGATTTGCATCTCCCCCTTCATGGGGCAAAAATGCTTGCAGAGATATGCCATAATCAAAAGGACTCTTGAGTCATCATTATTATGTACAGAAACTATATTCTTACTGTAAATTTAAAATATATCCATCTATATAAATCAACTACTAGGTTCTATCGTGGTTTTGTGGTTATTTTAATATTGTTTGAAATGCAAACAATATTATCTTCAAATTTTTAAGTTCTTAACAACAGTGAAAGAATACTGTTCAAATAAAACCAAAAATTGAAGACTCAATTTTTAACCTAAAAACATTACTAAAAATAACAAACAAAAGCATAAAACAACCAAAATAAATTAACATATGTTTAAGAAAGAAAAGTGAAAAAAAAAAGTTACTCTGACAATAAAAACTGATATTTACCATACAAAACATCAAAGACGCAGGTCCAAGAGCTTGTTTCCAATGTTGGCCAAAAAGGTTGAACTGGACTTCCAGTTCATGGGACATGAGGAATCGCACAGCTGGTTGTATTGTGTCATCTAAGGATGCTCCTCCAATTTCTGTAGCCATGGCAACCTTAAGTACAATGACAATAACAGGACAACATTTTGTTTTTGTTCATCAGTTTGTTATTATATCACTCTTATGTGCTTAATTTCACTAACATATTAATCTACCTTTTTCAAATCATTATAAAGTGATCTTCACGCTGATCCTCTTGAAGCCTGCAAAAATATATATTTTATTAGTGCAATATAACATTTAGACTTTTCAAAAAAATAAAAAAATTAAGGCAAAACAGCCTTTGTATAGATTAACTACTGAAGTCTTATATTGTAAACACTGAACAGTTTTGCAATTATCCTAATTTCTTTGTTAACGTGACAGGACTAAGACAGTAGTATTACTCTTAAGAGAAGTTTAGAAAATCACTATAAATGTAACTAATAAAGCCTAAAACATTGTACATATAAAAAAATTAGAGCTACAATTAAATATAAGTACATTTCACATAACTGCTAGCTAAATATTGCAAAAATATCAAAAAGAATTTCTTCATCTTTCAATATTTGTTTCAGGCTTGGCCACTGATTGACATGATGGGTTTCAATTTACGGACCCACATGCAGAACCACACGTTGGATAGGGATGAGTGAGTGATTTATTTACAACAGAACAAAATAAAATCTATTTCCCGGACATCAGCGGAAGGGTGAGGACCACTCGACCAGGTTGGCCTGAAACGAGAACTTAGTTATGACGGGCTTAGAATGAGTGATCGGAGGGGAAACAGGAACAGGCTTACTTCGGTGCGGTCTTTCGAGGCGTGGGTGTGAGATGCCAGGTTCCTGAGAGAGGGTGTGCAGCGGTTCCGAAGGTAAATGCGAGGTGGGAATGGAAGAGAGCTGGAAGCTCGAAGGGTGGAGTGGAGGCAGTGGAATCGGCGGAGCGAGCAGGCAGGTATTCACTGGTGAGTTCTCGAATGAGGCGACAAAACCCCTAGGATCGAACAAACACAGAGACCAGGTGACTTCTAGTAGACACAGAAACGTTCTCAGAAAACTGTTCACAACAGGAGAGGCCAGAGTGACTACCGGTGTATGCAACCATCTAGCATACACCAGTAGAATCTTCAGTCAATCTAGCGTAGACTGAAGATTCTGCTGCTCCTCCACCTGTGCCAAGCTCCACGGGCTCCTCACAAAGATCCTCGCTGAAATAAGATGCGACACTCACATACACACACAGGAACCCTGACACTGATGACTACTCTAGACCAACACAATAGCGGCAGATTGAAATAAACTGACATAACAAAACGCTTTAAAGTGTCACACAACAATTAAAAAAAGAATTTAAAAATATGAACTACAATGCCTTCATCCTATTTACAAAAAACCTTTTAGGCCCAATATACTGAAACCACATGGCCCCATATAGTGTTCCCATTTCTGTCCCATGCCCAGTTAGCCCACGTTAATGCTGAATTGGGCCCATACATTTAACCCAATTGAGCCAACAATATGAGTCCCATTTCGGTTAACCTTTGAGCCTCACGCAGTTGGCCCAGATAAAACCCATGCCCTCTTATCATTACCTATATAGCCCAAAGCTAAACGATTCAATGCAGTTTTATTGAAAAAAACGACAATAATAATCTTGCATGGGTCCAGCCAAACCAGCCTGAATCCATACATGAGACCCACCCATGCATGCTGATGTGACTGTGAGAAAGATTATTAAAAGCCCAAGTACATAGAATGAAAGCACAATAGTTACTCTTTTTAAATCATACAAATGGTTTTATTGTGTCCAGACACTTTGTAACAACCTCTGCTAGCAACATAGATTCTTCAGTGAACCGATTTCATTCTGCCTCGTTGGCGCTCAAATGAACCAATGGCAGCTCAACAAATAGAATGGCGGCGGTATTTGAAAATGGTTTGGCCCACAACGCTGCGTTTGAAATCGGTCTGCACTAAAATCTGCTTATTGTGTGTAGCTGTGTGTGTTAGCAATATCAGAAAAAGTATCACCCTAAAGAAAAGCAAAAATAACAATAACAATTAAGTCTCTTTTGGGATACTGTCGTCCGATTTGTTACGAGCAACAATTTTTTTAACAAGCGATTTAAAATCTCTCCCTAAAATTTGGTACTAGGTAAAACAGAAGAAATGTACTTACAGATTCTTTCGTAGATCAGCCAACAGGCAGACTCCGCGCCAACGGACTGATGAAGAGAACAGGCTTGATTTTGAAACCGCATATCCATCCGCGGGTCATTTTACGTTTTCCAAGAAACACAAGATTAATTTTCGAGAGTGCTACATCGGTTTAACAAATGTAAAACCGATGTAGCAAAAGTTCTCAATGTAAATAAATACATTTCGTTGTCCTCCTTATTCAAATATGTTTTGGAACTATTTTCTTCAGTGGATGTGTAAAGT